GGGTGAACAAAAAGGGGAGGCTTCAGGGAGGACGTGTGCCTGGTAAGATCTGGAAATAAGTCCAAGAGCCATGACAATGTTCAGAAAAGTGTGAGAACACATTATGGGAAAGGAAAAGAAATTCAGCCTGAGCAAACCTACAGTAAGGTGACCTTGTCTACCTCACAGAGTTGTGGCCAAAGACTCAATTGAGAGGGAGGATACAACATGTGGAGGGAATGCCAGGCTGCTAATCAATTCTTGCTCCCAAGCACTGGTTCTGAAGGGCTGGATGTGAATCACCTGTACAACTTCTTTTGCATTCCAAGACCTGAGATCCTTTAGGAGACTGAGTGACTCTAGGGTGGAGCTCTGGTGGCATAGTGGGTTATGTGTTGGACTAATAACTACAGGTCAGTATTTCGAACCCACCAGCCACCCCTTAGGAGAACAGTAAGACTGTGTGCTCCTATAAAATCATAAAGTCTGGGAAACCCAGAGGGGCAGTTCTACTCTGCCCACCAGGGTGGCTATGAGTCATCACTGACTGGACAGAAAGGGGGGTGAGGTTAGAGTGGAGCTCAGGAATCTAACCCCAAACAAAAGTCACTGCCATGGGGTTGATTCCGACTCAGAGACCTATAGGTGGTTTCCGAGGCTGTAAATCTGTATGGGAGCAGGTACCCCACCCTTTCTCCATCTTTCTCCCATGGAGCGTCTGTTGTCTTTGACCCACCGACCTGGTGGCCAGCAGTCCAACACTTACTCAACAGTGCCACGCGGGCTCCTTTCAGGAATCTATAACACAGCCAAATTTGAGAGCCACTGAGGGGACTACCCCAAAAACAAAGCAAATTCACTGCCAGCACGTCGATTCTGACTCACAGCGACCTGACAGGGCACAGGAGAATTGCCCAGTGGATTTCTGAGACGGTTGGTCTTCACAGGAGCAGACAGCCCGTCTTTCTCCCATGAGCCGGCAGCTAGTGTGTGAGCCTTGTGGTTAGCATAAGGTGACCAGATTTTTTTTTTTT